GTGTGTGTGTGTGTGTGTGTGTGTGTGTGTGTGTGTGTGTGTGTGTGTGTGTGTGTGTGTGTGTGTGTGTGTGTGTGTGTGTGTGTGTGTGTGTGTGTGGTGTGTGTGTGTGTGTGTGTGTGTGTGTGTGTGTGTGTGTGTGTGTGTGTGTGTGTGTGTGTGTGTGTGTGTGTGTGGTGTGTGTGTGTGTGTGTGTGTGTGTGTGTGTGTGTGTGTGTGTGTGTGTGTGTGGTGTGTGTGTGTGTGTGTGTGTGTGTGTGTGTGTGTGTGTGTGTCCTTCCTGAATGTTGAGTCTTTTTTTTGTGCTGGTAAATTTATCTTAATGATGAACCAACTCGCCCGTGCAGCAGTTTTACATAAGTCCACCTGCGGGGATTTCTTGTCCGAACAGTAGATTGACCACCTTGCTGTTGGGTGACGCTAGCGGTCATTTTTTGTTGACTATCAATGTCAAGTTAAAATTATAATTCCCTTTTCATGGAATAAAAGCATGCTCGTTCCCACCGATGTAATGAATTATCTTATTTGCACGACAATTAGACAAATTTTTCTCAGCGGTAGACAATCCCTGATAACATGTCCACCCTACTGTTCTCAGCCCTCTGTATGCTAAGCACAAGCAATTGAAGCAGGTTGGACGTAATGGGCAGTCAAGGTTGATAGCTTAGCACTTGTATACTGCAACTTTACAGCTGCCCTGCAAGTTATGAAGAATGCCATTTGTGAAGCAGTGCAACATGGTATGGCTTCAGAGCTGTGACAATAACGAATCGAAAGAAAAAGGTGTCTAGAAACCCTCCCCTTTCTCACGACAGCTATATGACAAAGTTCATACTCCACTTCATACTTAGAAGGCAGTGCTGTGGAAGCTAAACAAGAAGCTACACTACATTAACTTCATAAAGCAATTGTTTTTGATCTATAATACTTTCAATTAGATAGCCAACAAACAAATTACAACATCATGTGTTTGCCTTAAAGCTATGTCAAATCAAACACTAGTTGGGCACCTTTTCTCTTCCAGTATATAGGGTGCACGGCCACTGGTTGCTGGTATATGCGATTCCACCTGTATGCTGATGACCTGATTGAGCTTTGCAACACCTTCCATGTAATAACTGTGCCATTAATGCTTTAGCATTCAAAATAAACTTTTTATCTACCACCGTAAAACAAAGGCAAGAAAAAAAAAAAGGAACTGCTAAAATGTTCTTTACAGACAGTATACACACTTGTTAAAACGTATCAAATGACAGGTGCCAGACTTGACATGCAAGAGACATCACAGTGGAGAGCTCTGGGGTCATACTATTAACTTTTAACCTTGCTCAATACTCACGCAAACAGAAGTTGAGTCCCCTGCACTTCTGGGTTGATCAGATCAACTTAATATGATCAAAAGTAAAGATTTTTTAGGGGAGCACAAGAGACTGTCTTGCTAACAAATTTTGTACTTTAAAGCCCTCATCACCAATACAAGCCACAAGTTGTGATAGCTGATAATAAACAAACATAAATGAGAAAATTACCTTTGGTTAATGATAATCTTGCCCACTGAACCTTCACAAACATGCACCCAAAATATCAGCACATGGTATTTCTTGCACATCGCAAACGATTTGAGGATTGCACAGAGCTTTCATGGTTGCAGTTTAATGTCATAGCTACATTTTTTCAATAGTAGAAAGGTAAAATAGAATGGTTCCACTTGCTCTAAAAAATTTACACTAATTATTTACTCACCGTTTACAAAGTTATATTCCACTACTCTATTACGCCAGTGTATCCAAGTTCAACTCAACATCACAGGTTGATGAACATCACATGGCGGAATAGCAGCCTTAGCTGGTCTTGTGACGGTCAGCATAGTTATTTCTAATATTTAAATTTCAGTGTTTTTTAAACACATTACTATTAAGATTTCAACCTACTAGAAGGCCATATTGCTGCTCTTGTATCACTGTAGCAGTGTTGTGTAGTTGCCACTAAGGAACTGAAATGGCTCCAGAATCATACCACATTTATGCGACCCCAGAATGGTATGGAAATGGAATTGAGCACCTTTTGCACAAATGGAATAAGAATAGAATTCAGTCCTTTTCTAGTATGTCTTTTCTACAAGCTGCTTTTCAAACTTCAAACATAACAAGTTAGAGACTCGAATTTAACAATAAAGCAGTATTTTTAAAATGGCTTGGCTGATTACAAGCACGGTACAATTCTTTTTGTTTCGAGTTCAGTTGTCTTTTAACATACCTTGCATGTAATATTTACTATTATATTTATGTTCATGGTAATGCGTTTACATATTCCTGTACTTATTTTGCAGACCAACTATATTATGCGCCCCTCCCCTCTACAATGTACAAATGTACCCTGAAGGTTTTCACAACTAAATAAATAAATAAACAAACGCACCTACGACCATTCTGTACTTATATATATTGCTCTGAAGTTTCCGTTTGTCTATATTCTTCATGTAACCACGGCTCTATGCCGTTAGTATCCATCGTGCAGAACTACGGCTGTGGCATGCCATCCCTTACGCCCTGCGATTTTTTTCCTCTTTTTTCCTCTCAGCAGCACCCCAGCTGCTTACTGTCTCCCCAACCTTCACTTCTTTGTTTTTGATTCTGTTGCCGTCGGCAACTTGGAAGCTTATTCGAAAAAGTTGTGATGCGTATCGACGCTGACACAATGCTCGTGTTCACAGCAAGCTTTTGTATACCAGCTTGCACACCTTTTCATCTTCTTTAATCAATAACCTGTCAACTTCTCAACTTGACAAAATTATCAAGATGCCTTTCCTACATTGAGAAATTACAGGAATTAAATAAAACTGAACTGCCCAGCCGTTCCTGGAGTGGGAATGGTCTATGTTTTTTCATCTCGAAGAATTGAAAGGAATGGAATTGCGGCAAGTTGCAATTCCCCAGAATGGAATGAAAGCGCCCATTCCACAACACTGCACTGTTGTAATACAACCACATACTTTCAATAGAGAACCTTTTAACAGATTTATAAATCATGTTCTCTTCTACGTTTAGAAACATTGTCAAAGGCCTTGGCTGGTTGGTGTCAACACTTTCAAGAGATCTGCATGCTAAATCTTAATCATACAAAATTAATTTTTTTTAAATTTCCAAATTGCTTTGAGTTTATTTTCATCCCCAGTGTAACATACTGGATGTGTTAATGTCGCGCATTGCTTTCAGTGGCGGAAGTGTACATCAAGCTTCTCCTGTCTGGCTTGCAGACCCTACACTGAACCATTTAGTGTTTAATTATAAAATCCCCGACTGTCTGCAATTATCACTGTGTTTTGTTAAGCAAATTCCAACAAATTAATCTTTCTCCATTAGCACTCAATGATTTCTTGTTCCATGCATGCATCAACTACCTAGGAGGTTCGAGATTTACTAGAACTCTTACCAACCACCGACCTAGGCTCTCATCTGTAGTGCTCGTACATTGTTCGTGATGTGATACCTCCTTTCCCCTCCCATATTTGTTACGTTTTCCCCTCTTTCTTTTTTAAGTGTAAGCAGGTTGTTCCTATGAGCTAATTCCTCCTTTTTTCCCGCCATCAAGGTGTTTTAACATATTTAGATGAATAAAAAAATTTGTCATCTACCTATTCATGATGAACCTCCCCATCTGAAATACCTTCAACATTTCTATTTGTAAAGGCAACATTCTGGGCAAGAATAGTCTTTTCTTTATTCGAGCACATGCCAGACAGCCTGCAAACAGACGACACTTGAAAATTTTATCTTGCCAGGACACTCATCGTCCACTGGAGGCAAGAATCTGGGAGTGCCGCTGAGAACAATCGGGCACAAGTGGGCTATCTAAACTTGTGTAGCAAGGTGTGCCTACGTCAAGGACAGCACAGCACTCTCCCAACATCCATACATCATGAACAGTACATACTGCACTTGATCATGAGACTACGGGGGGTGATAAGGGACCAATAGAACTGCAGTTAGCTCGCATTATACTTTCTTTATTGAAGCAATTCTTTACTTACTGCCTATGCTACAATTATTTATCCAAGCAGCTGCACCAAAGGTCATCTCCCCTACGTACAACATTACCCCAACAAACTAACTAAACTTCATGCACCTTTTTTTTTCCTTTCTTTCTTTTCCATACGTCATCAGGACAAGTGGCTCCTGACGACAGTGCAGCCTGCTCTTGCAACCATTTACTTTTAAAAGCGGTAAATTCATTTTATTACTTTCTTTTTTACGGTACTTTCTATCGCGAAAGCACTTCTCGACCACGATTGGATTTCACAGCTTGCGCAAGTTAGTCAAGCGCTTTCGGGAAATGTAGATCGAACTGGGCTTGATAGCGTTCGAAAATGCATCGTGTTAAACCTTCATAATATATATATATATATATATATATATATATATATATGAAGGCAAGATAGATGGCCAGATTGCGCACAGGAGTTGCGGTCGGAATGATCACAACTTGGGCGAGAAAAGTTGACAACCACCAAAATATCACTTAAATGTGCAAGCTATTCATTCCGCTAAACATTCTATGAAAGGGAGAAGTCATCTTAACGAATTAGTGTAAACGCTGAGCTTTCACAGCGGCATTACTACAGACTAAGCATTATCGCGCGGACCACGCCAGTGGTACGAAACAAGCGGCTTTGGTTCAGTTAGCAGAATCACTTACGTGTGCAGACCATAGGCGGCTGCATCGAAGTTCACGGCAACTCTATGTTTCGTTCTTTATGATTAGTTGCCAGTGGCCAGTACAAGATTTAAGAAAGGCCATGATGTGCGCGTTAATAGACACACACACACACACACACACACAAATAGGGGGGGGGGGGACAGAAGAGGGGAAGTGGGGCTATGATATTGTTGTAAAATTTCTTTCTGGTGCGGTGAAAAGTCACAAACTACTATACAACATTCACTGAAATATTCACTACAAAAAGCGAGTTTTTACGATCGGTGCACACAAATAATGCTTACCGATTTTGTACGCTGGCTTGCTCGCAGACATTGTGAGACCTGATGCGAAACTTGAAAAGAACAGCGGAAACCTACGAGTGACGGCGAACTTATATACGCGCGGCCAGAATCACACGCAAAAAGAAGAGAGGAATATGCGAACACGTGCGCTCTGTACTTCTACAGCGCTCTCCCGCCTAAAGATCACTGCGCCGCCTACGGGTACAAACTCTGCGCTCTGGTGATGGCGCTACAAAACGGCTACGTTTGCAACGTTTCGAGTAGAAAACCGCACCCCACAGAACACCTATGAGCACGCGGTGTACACTCATGTGAAGGCAAAATTCGGATTGTCAAAGCCTATATATAGTAGCAACATCAGTTTGCCTCATCCAAGAGCAGATATATATTGTGGCGCCTGCTTGAGATTTGCTACGCTGATGTAGCCAGGGGTGGGGTTTTGGGGGGGTTTCAAATATAACCATATAACCACAGAACACCTGTATAACCCTATAACCTCCGTGTATAATCATCCCGAAATTTTTCACTTTTCCATATTCTCATATATATACGCGCATGCATACAGACACACACATGATCATACAGAGACCATTGGGCTCCGGATTATTTCGATGCGCATCGCAGTGATTACACAGCACATGGCCTCTAGCATTTCGCTCATTTAGTGAAATTCAATCGGCGTGACCGTGATTGAATCCGCGTCCTTAGGTCAGCAGCCGAGGACAGCGTGTATCTATTGGTCTACCACGGCGGCTATAGAGTGCATACAGAGCTCATCAAATGTATGGCCAATATTCTCTTTATCTGGAACGTCAGTTAAAATATTCAAGTAAATTAGGTAATTTGGTTAAAGTATTGCATTATATTAATGTCTAATTCATTATTAGGTCATATAAGGCGTTTTATTACGCCAAAGCTAATGCAGAGCCTGTGATCAAACTAGTGCACATTCCAACGAGAAAAGTCTTGCACCAATAAGACTAAAGAAAATGTGTTATACTGGCACGAATATTAGAATTTGCTAGCTATAGGGTGTCGAAAAGTGACAATATCATACGAAAAAATTAAGGCATACGTGTAAAATTTACTAGAACCACATGGAGGAAGGAAATAAACAACTCGATCCTTTTATCTACAGCCACGTATATAGGTACGTTGTGGCTAAATGTAGAACGAGGAAAAACCTCATGTACATGTCACACTAAGGAAGCCCAAGATAGAGTGCAAATTTTCGCCAAGCTGTGGACAAACTCGTCTAAGAGGAAGTTGGCGGGCGCTCCCGTTCACATGTGAAATGCATGATCGCTCATGCATAACAGAAGGAACGATTTTGAGCATAATTGTTTGCGACTTAAAAGACGTATGTATGTGTACCTTTGTAACCATTAATGTCCCAGCTAACCAGTGGATGCGCTAGCGTGGGTTGTACCACCCCCCACCCCCTCAGAATTTAGTCTGCCCCCCCCCCCCCCCCTGCACTCCTAGGAGCAAAAAAAAAAAAGAAAATTGAGTTTGCCCCTTGACGGATTCAACTGTCGCAGGTAGAGCTAGCAGGTGGTGCCCTATCACGTAGTGATGGATACTTTATTTCTCAAACTTTTTCCGAATAACTCAGCATGGGTGTTCGCTGTGCTGCTGTTGAGTCCCAGGAGCGTAGCCAGAAATGTTTAGATGCGAAGCGGCTATTTGACTAACGTGTGTCGAAGAAGTTGCGACAATACCGTACGTACGTGCGTCCATATGAACGCGCCACTGCGCGTTCCCCTCGCCGCAGATGTTGGAGCGGTGCCAAGTAGGTCACGCTGCAGCTGCGCGTTGACGTCACGCTCCCATTGCAGGAGCGCTGACGTCACTCTCTTCCTCACCCGCAGCACGCTCGCCGCAGCGCCCGCAGCTGCTACTACGCCCGTTCGCAAAACATTTATCTCTTGCTTCACCCTCTCCACCACGCGCAACGCTTGACAACACATCGAGTGGAACACTCTTTCGGCTTGTTTATCTGCTATGTGTAAGTTTACACGAAACCCAAGCCGCCTCCCGTGTCTTTGCGTTTCAAAGAAACGTCTACTTGAGTAAACGCTAGACCAAGTTTCGCTTCAAAAGGTTCATCCAGCACCAGTGTCGACGGCCGTTTCAACCGGGTCAACAATGCCGCGCGCACCGCTGCTGCTTTGCATGTTATCAGGGATGGTCCATAATTTTTCTGGAGAGAGTCAACCATTTTTTTCTTCTTGTATCTTAATACTAGTATGTGCGTTTGTATGAATGGGGGCCTATGCATATGCAGAATAAAAAAAAAATTCATGGGAAAAAGGATGAACCCCTCTCCCCACCAGGCGCGCGTAGCCAGGACTTTTTTTTCGGGGTGGGGTGGGGGGCAGATTTTTAATTTCGGGAGGGGCACCCTCTAGAAATGGTAATTTTTCGCTCTCTGTGCCATGGCTGAAAAAAATTTGGGGGGGGGGGGTCGGAAGTGCCCACTGCACCACCCCCTGGCTACATCCTCGTTCCCCACCAAAATCTGATGACCCGGTCACGAGTAGTGCATTTTGAGGGAGGAGGGAGGGTGTCTGCCTGCTCGCCTTTGTAATCTCGCGACCCGGTCCACTAGCCAGTTCTGGCAGTCAGGATCAGGGTTTAGCAAGGTGGCCTCCCATGGCGCTAGGTTGCTATTCATGTCTGTGATTCTTTTTGGTGAGGGATTAACCAAGAGGAGGCGTTGACCAGGTGTACGAGTCGCCGCCACACTCGGTTCAAACCATTCAAACTACCCGCCCTATTAGCAGCTCATGCGTTGAGCAATGTAAAATACGTCCTGCCTTATACTAATTTTATAAAAAAATATAAATACTCTTATTGTACTACTCAAGGCTTTTTATCCTAGTTATCGCCTATTATTGCAACAAGTTATGGTGAGCAAAACAGAACACTCTACCACAAGATTCATAACCGCCATAGTCATCAACTACATTTTCTTGTCATGTTTCTAGCTGTTGCGCGCACGTGTTATGCCAGTGTGCGATCGTGCCTTTCGTCCTTTCTTTTTTGTGCTTGGCGAACAGCGTGCTGTGATGACCGGCTTGAGAAGTTGCGACAAACGGTTTTCTTAAGACTCATAGTCAAAGTAAAAATTTGACGGATTTTAGTGAAGACTTAGCAAGGAGTTCTGAAATCGAGCATGTTAAGGTGCGCAAAACATACATTTGTTCTCCCACAATTTGAAATCCGCAACCGAGCGTCGGTTGCAACTACCATTAACGAATACAAACTTGCTTTCAGATGGTGCTTGCTGAGCGCAGGCAAAAAGTTGGCACTTCTAAAGCCAAGATACTTTGTAAGTAAGACGCATCTTCATGTTACCTAATTTTTTGGGTGGCGAAATTGCTTGACGTTCACATAGCGGTGTTCGAAGTCGCGTAGGAAGTAGTGCACTAAATTGTGTGTTATTATATTGCAGCAGCCCTTTCACGGTCAGGTACGCGGAGACAGCACTTGGAAAAACTTTGTGAAACCTTTCAGGAAGAAAACTCGCGAGGAGTACGCTCGTTCCGACGGCTTAAACCCAGCTCAGGACCTACTTGTGTACACCAGTGGGGTGCACAACTACATGCTTTTGGCGAGTATCACTGGAACGGGCATCCTGGCCGGCGTCGTCTGCTGTGTCGTGTATTTCTCCTTTAATCCCTGGCCAAAAACCGGAACCTTCAAAGGGCGCTCTATAAAAGTTACATTTGCCCAGAAGATGACCTTTGTCTGTGTGCTCGCCACGCACATGCTCGGATCGTTTTATTACCTAAGGGCAGTGCCAATACGTATCTACTACAACAAATCGCAGCAAATGTTTAATTTAGTTTTCCAGGGTGTATTTCCAGGGTTGCGAAGAAAACTGAGCTTTAGGCCTGGAGCACTCGAGCCACTGTATGCTGACACAAATCCTATAATCATGAAGTACCTGGGCACCTTGAGGGTGAAAAATAGGTGGCAGAGATTTGTAGTGTTTGAGGAGCGTTTTCACCGAACAGTTTTTTACAATGTCCTAGTTGGCTATGACAGTGTTGATGTGCTTGAGGACTAGACCAGCAAGAGTGAATTGTATAGATGCTTCTAAGCTGATGTACCTGTCTATGTGTGACTGAAGACATCATTAAATTAATTTTGAAATTTGCCCTTGTAAGCTGGTGTCCATTCCCTTCCTCTTTTTACTTCACGTGAAATGAGTATGGCAGTTATGTGCATGTAGATTCCAGTAATCAAGTGCCTGTTAAGCAGCTTCTTTGGGAGCTACTCTGGTATTTTTTTTTAGGTCATGTCGCTGTAGAAAAACAAGATTAGATGTTTAGGGGTCTCAGGTTCACCTCAGCCAGAGGGTCGCAGCCACAAAATTCAGTCCCTCAAGGGCCATGACAGTGAAGTCGGTGGAAGCCAGGGGGCAGTAGGGAGAGAGTTTGAACAAAAGGTCACCTAACATTACCATTTGAAACAGCACCTTTCTGATATTCCGTATATGGGTCACTTCTGAAGGGAATTTGACATCAGGTTTCAAAAAACAAAAAGGCTGATTTCCACAACGACAAAAACCTGGACGGGAATTATGAAATATAAGTTCCACAATGACTCTTCCATCATTCCACAATGATGCTTCGACTTGGTGACCGCATGGAGTTACCTCTTGAAAAAAAATACTTGAGACCAGTCCCGTCTTTGTATCTTACCCTAATAAAGCATTCTTAATGGCAATAGGCAAGCAAATAATGTGGGTACTATGTAGAAAAGTAAAAAAAAATGCCACATGATGCCACGGGCTGTGCATTTGAAACTCCCGTTTTGCTTGTGGACATAAGTGATTAGAATTTCTGGTAGTGGAGTATTACCACAAAAGCTACATCAATGTATATATTGTTGTATGAAGAAAGTGTCCACTCTCCCGGCTAAGATTTAGAACATACTGCTGTCCAAGGACAAAGCAGGCATTTACACAAATGCATTCATATGATGATTGAACATTACACAAAAATAGGGTCCTTATCACTAGAGTGCATTATAATGAAATATGTGAACAACTTCAATAAATAAAAGCTGGACAGGTTGAACACATTTCTAGTAGTGCATGTTGGTAGTGTAGTCAGTGGGGTTGAGCTTTCCCTCCCAAGTGTTATAGCTTGTATTTATATATACATGTATGGTGCTTGATCCCTTAAAATGAAGTTCTGGCTACGCCTTTCATTAGTAGCCATCATGAATGGTTTTACGTTGTCATGATTGGAAATAAGCATGATTTCCAAAGGCTGATCTGTTTTCACAAAATGCTTCGATTGGCAAGACACCAACTTAGTAGGCTGAGTGAAGATGGAGTGTGAAGTACAGTTCTAGAGTGTAAGCATGTGTGTTCTGTCTCAAAATTTAGGGTCTTAAGTTTGAGCACTAATGTTAAATGAACAAGAATAAAGCAAGTGGTGGAACTTGAGCCTGACAATTGTATTTAATTATTTTGAATTAAAAGACTGCAACAAGTGTTAGTGGTGAGCAGGCAAGTATTGAAGGTAAAATGAACTGCCTTTTATTTTGCACCATTCCTACTTTTCCCAAGATCTTTACTGAGATGTGTATTTGAAACGATACTTGGGATATTTGAACCTCTGTCTCTTACGCTAAAACATGCTTACAGTTTACAAGGGGGACATCAGATACAACTGACAACCCTGTTAGATAGTTTATAATTGTAATGCTTCAATGAAAGAAAACTTGTCAATAAAACACACCTGCCCTAGTGATGGGTCTTCATTTGTAATATTCATAAAAATATTTCACAATTCTGCCTTTATTAACCACTCTTCTCACCTTTTGAAAATGACATACAAGTTACTTTGCAGGCACTGTTGATTTTTCATAGTATGGATGTTTTTAAGTATATTCAGTCACATGCACAAGGTCTTATATTTGCTACTTCTCGCAGGCACTACCTGTAAGCACCATCTGTTTTGAGTTGTGAAGGCAAAGGGTAAGCTTGGTCAGTGAAGTTAACAAGGCCTGTGCTATAAAATTAAAACTGCATAACTAGTTTAAATACTAAAAGATACCAAAATAAAAGGTAATAACCATCAATTTGACTTCTGTTATCAAAAGACAAACTCTAAAGTCATTAATAATTGATCATTACTATGTCACTGAAACAATTGCTTCCATGTCTTCAAATGTTTAATATTTGTGTGTTGCAAGGTTATTCTTAGTATATAACCATGCACCATTGAGATGTGTATATGGCTGCAGCATCAGTTGGTTGCAACTGCTGTCGTGAAGAAGTTTTTCAAATATAGCTCATCTATGAAATGTAAAAGCATGCTTAGACCTCCGAGTGCCAGGTCTTACACAGAGTTTAGTTTTTCCTCTGTGTGTTATAAGATACCTATTATTTACCTATTATGAGATAGTAAGAAATTAATAAATATTATAAAATTTCTCCAGATCATTTTATTCAATATAACAAAATTCATCTACCTAAAATCACACCCACACTTTTCATGAATTTTATTCGCATTTGGGACATGTAAGCTTTACAATTAACACAGTTCAAAATGAAGTAGTTGTTGCTGATTTTTGAATAGACATGACTTAGGGATTCTTTGATAAGTGACTGTTGCTACTCTTTCTTACATTACTGTGAAAAAAAAATAAATGAGCATGAAAATTGAGCAGCTTTAATAGTACATAAACACACACTTTGCCAAATGCTAGACATACTCGAAAATACTTCAGCATGTAACGTAGTCATAGTCAGTATGCGCGACATAATTTGCAAGCGTTCGTAAAAACAATATTCTTTCCACGATTTTGATGGGGTGTGGCCCTTCCACAGAAGTGGGATGTTCTCATTCAATTTTCGATCCATGTATGAAAACACTTTATTAATGCCATGTATACCTAACGATGGGATATGTGGTTTCTAGCTGCGGGCATCCTTGCTAAATGCCTTTATCTGTATCGCTGCTAGGGCTTGGCTTGTCGCCGCTGCTTGGGTCATCTGCACGTCCATATATCCAATCTTCCACAGTGCCGTTCATGGCAGTGAAAATCCCGGTGATCCTAAAGCTCTTTATCATAAAGTCTGATGACGATGATAGTTTGTTCACACTACCTGGTGTATCCAAAAGCTCCAAGCGCTCCATTCTTAAGAAGTTTTTCATGGAGGTGCAAAACATGGTGACACAGCAAGCTGTGAATAGGACAACTAGCAAGTTAATGCAATAAAATTCTACCCTTGTGCTTTTTTTTTTACGACAACAAGAACGGAATAACTTTCTAGCTTACTTTATTGAGCACCCAGATGATGTAAAATTTCACATGCTCATGCCTGAAATACTTGACAGGAAAAATTGAGTTATATTAAAAGCTTCATTCTAGCTAGCGAGGCTACATAAACTACGATTCTTGAAAAGGCATCTGCAATATTTTTACCTTAAATTTTAACACACTCGAAATGTCACATGACATGATTTTTGTGACTTGAACACAGATGGGTTATAGTGAGATATACTTAATAAGTGTCTGTAATCACCAAGTCTGAATTAGTGTCCTAATGCACTAATGAGTTTGTGAACAATCAATAGTTGGTTACCCACCAACCATTCTTAGTTTGCACGACAAACAACTTGCCACTTTCATTATACTTGTTTCTGGGGGTATAGACCAAAATTTTCAATGCTTTTATGCTTTTAGGAGGCAGCAATCTTTGGTGGGGTGTTTTAGGTCATGTGGAGCGAATTACTGCAATAGCAGCTGGTCTATCCTTATAGCATGCTGGTCGCCAGTGTTCGCTGCCACATCAGACGTGATGTGACCCATCCCATAGCCCCTATGCTGACTGCACCGACAGATATTATAGCTGAGATAAAGATTCTGTATCCTTGCTTTAAGCATGGGTGCGAATAAAAATTGCCTGGTTTATAAACTCGAGATAAATACTGACAACTTAGGGTACTTTAATGTAGACCTAAATTTAAGTACACAGGCACCTTTCCATAAGTTTCCTACTTTAATTTGGCTGCAGTGGTCAGGGACTGAACCCACAACCTCATGCTCAGAAGTAAACAACCACTGCCATAAACCACCATGCTGGGTTAACCAGTAATAAGCCATAACAATTACTGAATTTGTCATTTTGTCAGATTAGAAGAAAAACTTACATTATTATGTTTCTTTACTGTATGTGCCCCGCTTTTTTTACACATCTATATTTCTCTACACTTTTATTCTCATCTTTTTTCCTTTCCCCCTCTCCTTAGTACAGGGTAGCAAACTGGATGCTACAATCGGGTTGACCTCCACACCTTTCAATTTATTCAGTCTCTCGCTTTACTGTATGTGTATTAGGAATAAAATATCCTTTCTTTTTTTGCATTCCTCAGGATGCTAGAGTGATATCGCAAAAACATTTAATGCATTTTAACTAGTAAGGATTGGCTTTCAGCGATAAACAACCCAACCACATTTTGCCTGCTATTCACTTGCCAAGTTGAAACATGAACACGAGTTCACACGGGACTCACAATTTTATTTCACTACAACACATACTCTAAATGGTTTGCAATGTAGTAATAAGTGCAAATAAATATCTAGGATGACACAAGTGAAAAAAAAAATTTAAGTGGTATTAATGGGTTACAACATGGGCAAGAATTGAGAATTCAAATGCAATATAAGAAGAGTAATGACACACACATCAGTAAAAATTGGGGCTGCATGAACATCAACACTACAAAAGATGTTTTTATCATAGGCATGTATTTAAGTAGGTATATTCAGAATAAATGATGCATGATTAAAAACTGTGTAGCCTGAAATGACAGTGGACAGTGAAATCACTTGTAAGGTAGAGACCGCTGGGACTGGTGCATTCATAGACCACTGAAATTTTATGCTCTTAAGATTTTTGTGTTCTCTTAACTGTGTTAGTAATCAACCTAGCTTAAAGAAATGCATGCCTTTCAGCTTTCTTGAATTTTTTATAAGTGAGATTTGTTTGCATTAGGTTCTCCAAATGGTAAACTGCATTTGTGGAGGAGCTGGACTTGATGATTGCAGATTATAGGGGTTGTTGCTTAGTGCAAGTTCATTCTGACCAGTTTTTGAAGTAGGCAAAAATTGGCAATAGGAGAGTCACCGAAAAAGTAAGTTTTTTTGTGAAAACAATGCACTGCTTGTGAAATTCTGTTCAATGTTTCTTCTGCTGCCAATATATATATGTCACAAAATTTGGGATCAGGGCAGACTTCTGAAACTCTGCCTCCTTTTATGGATGCAAGTATATGGAACAACCAGTCGCCAATTATAGTTTCAGAAAATTAGAAAACACTCTCAGCATTTATAATACTTTAACACATTTTACAGGGTTACATGATCTATGCCTCGGTCTCGGTCAAGCTCACACAATCATGTCATGATTTATAATAATATTTGGGCTTTTACGTCCCAAAGCAGCAGCATGATTATGAGGGAAGCTGTAGGGGTGAACTGCGGAAATTCAGACCATGTGGTGTCCTTTAACGTGCATTGACATCGCACAATACTTGGACCTCTATCATTTCGCCTCCGCCGGAATGCGACCACCCAGCTAGGATTGAACCCACGACTTTCTAGTCAGCAACTGAGCACTGTAACCACTGATCCACTATGCTAGACAATTATGTAATGATTAACCTCATCACTGCTCAAAACAAAAGTGAAACCGTACTGCACAATCATTGCAACTTTCCAGGAGCACAACTACCCTGCGCATATATTCTGGGTGCTAAATTTTTTCTCTCCCTCCAGTACTTGCTGCGCTTGATTGTCTGTAGGAAATGAACATTCATGCAACCCTAAAAAAACTGTATGCTCATTGTATCTCAACACTCATTTTACAAAACTTAAATTTGCCCATTAGCTTCAGCTTTCTATCTTCTCGTAACAGATAGTCACCTACCTACCCAACAAACACGTTCAATAGAGCAAGGAGGCAACAAGAGGAAAGCAGTAATGGCACAAAGCTTTAACAGCCAGTTAATGAAAGTAGTAGTGCAAGTCGGTTAGCTGCTCAACACAAATGTCACATAGTTTTGTCTGATAAAACACAATACTGTACAAACAAGAAAAATGGCTATTCTACTAGTGAAATTAGATTGCACATCACAGAGACATTTCTACAATCACACAAACTGTTTCAATGAACATGGTAAATGCCCCTGCTGTCAATAGGTCTTATATGCCAGTATATCGCCTCACAAAGTACACTAACCATAAATATTTGAAGAATAGCTAAATATTTTTTTCACAGGTTTCCAAATTTCAAGAGGTTAGTGTTCAGCAATACAGCAAAGCAAAAGCAGTTTCATACACTGGTAGCACATAACATGAATGTGACCATCATGACTCATAAACTTCTTTATGGTTAGTGTGACCACTAAACAAGGCAGCCCAAGACTACCCCACAAACACAAAGACCAAGATGCCGTCAACACAATACCCTACTCGAGCTTCAATAGATGCTTGCGTCAAAAAAAAATATTTTGCAAATATCAAATGAATATGGTGATCATACCAGTGTAAACTAAATTAGGGCACAGGTTTTGTTCTAAAGCTTTGGGCCAACACAAAGACAATACTTCACCAAGTTCGAAGCCTGCCCCGTCTCATATAAACAGTCCAAGTTTGGCTCTTGCATCTGATATATCTTCCTTGTTACAATTGCTACCAACTGCTGAACACTGAAAGGCATTAGCAATTGGCAAGAAAGGGCAACTAATAAAACATTGCAGTTAGTAATGAAACTTAGATTAATGTGAAAATATATAATACATAAAAAAAAAGTGTATAGCCACTCAAGAACTTTGATTAGTGCTTATCTCACATTCATACGATGATAAACATTTTATATTGCAACATACATGTGAGTAACATGACAGTGGATTACAATACCACATGCAACATTAAGAACAATAAAGCTGACTATGAAGAAGCAGCAGCACCATACAAAATATTGTGCATTTTCCAGAACCAATAAGCCTTATTAAATATGTTTCTTGATAATGCTTGTTAACATCTGTATACAAAGTCATTTACTGTAACTGCTTTTCTGCTTTCAACCACACACTGTCCTTATAGGAGTACCAACAAGTATTTTTGAGGTTGTAGAAGTCGCACAACATGCTAAAGGCATGACACAATCGAGTATGAGGGTTTCCAGACTTGGTTTAATTATCATTTTAATGATGTATGATGGAGTGATATTTACTAACACATGCTGCAAAAAAAAACGCCACTCAAGGGGTTCTGATGTTTATATTTTCATAAGGTTTTCAAAGGGTCTCAACCTTGATTTGACGAGTGAAAAGTAAAGAAAGACAGGTGAAAAATATCACATCAATACAATGAACTTCAAAGATGTAGAAGGTTGGGGAGATAGTATTTAGAATGCTGTTGAGGCACTCAGTTCTGGGTTATTCATTTCGGAACATTAACATCTCAAAAAGTATTGAGAAAAATTTCCAGGATGTACAAAAATGAAGGGAGGTATTTTATACTATCGATAGAAATATATTCACACATACTGTTTCAAGAACACACACAATTTTCTTTAGATCCTACAGTCAAGAAAAAGCACCAAAAAATGTCATTGCTACAGCTACAGACAAGTACCAACTGTATGTGTACATGGAAGCCTTGAGCCACATGCCCTATCATTTCCCAAGGAAAGTGCCCTTCTTGAAATGGCCACAGACGAATGCTGAAAGACTACTCAGGTGAGTGGAGTTACAGACAGCACTACAATTCAGTGGTAAGAAAATGCCCTGCTTGTTCCCAAACCATGGAAGGACTCATGTTGTCAGGTTCCAAATCTTTTTGGTCAATAGATCTCACAGTCAACAAGATTGATACTAAGGGATGACTGTTTCTAAGAGCAATGTCACCACACGTAAAAAGCTAGATTGCCTTAAATCAGCCATATGTTGCAAAGCTATGCGAGTTACCACCAGCGCGGGTAATACTACAAGTACAACTACAGACTCGCATGTTCTACAATCTGCATATTGCATGGCTGTCACAGCAGGATGACTGCTGATAGGTGAAAGAGCAAACAAATGAAAATGTGCAGCTTCTTCAGTTGGAAAGCACTAGTCATTACATTTTGGAAACTTTTTAGGAACCAATATGCAGATGCCCTTTAGCAAATTTTACTGGTGTGCACCCACCCATATGAAACATGCAAGTAGAAGTGTGGCACACTCACCGGGTACCCAGTCATTGAAATCTCGTATAAAATGCAACAACCTAAATATTTGGTACCAGTGAAATGAAAATAGAACTGATAAAAAAAAACTATATGTAGAAGCTGAATATTTGTGTGGTGACCTCTTAATAGGTAAGCTAGTACTTTGTTCATGCATTTCAACTTTAAAAATAGTGTTTGTATATTATATATGTACACATATAGCTCTCAAAAAATTAAATGCTCAAAAATATCTGTGCTGCGTGGCTAGATAGAATAGCACACATAACTGAACCCACAACAGTTAACTTCTCAAAGGCATTGATGTGTAAAATATCACATCAAAAGTCAAGCTTAACAAAGTAACTATACAGAATATTATCAGCAAGCTCTGGATGGCTAGGTCTCCATTTCATAAATGCGCTGCAGATGTCTGTTTGGCGAATTACGTTGGCTGAGATCTTTCCAACTGCAATCTGAAAGGAAGGCACAACAATCGCAACACAGTTAATACTCGTATGCACTTTATGAAATCTTGTTGACAGCTTTAAAACTCGAGCAAACTTTATGCCTAAAAAGAAAACAGTAATAAAAAAAGAAGCAGGAAAGGAAGATAGAACATTCTCATTCCCATTTACCACAGATTTAGCAGATAACTAGTCTGGTTGAGCAAAGAAATCCTGCATTGAAAAATGAGTTCCTTTCAGAGTTCTTCAAGTGATTAAATCTATAAGTAACAGCACAGTAAACAATCAAATTCAAGCTCAGAAAAACGGGAAATGAACTACGTTTCTCACACCTATGAGTAGTACAAGTGTCCTTCATTTTGGTGAATCATCATTGTTAAACAAACTGATACTCCAATATCTAAGCACACTACCAGTAGCATGGCACAAGGCAATTTTATGCCTACTTCTGCATGAATTACTCCACCAAAAAGTAAATGTTGAGCTAACACCACAGCTGGCCATTTACAATGCCTTCCACCTTTGCCAGCTCATGTAATAGTGGCCACTTAAGACCTTTGTTACACCATATTACATACTGCTGTTAAAAAAAACTCATTTTAATGTGGACCAGCCAAATGGAAGATGGCTGCGAAACAATCTTTGTTATCTCATTTGACCAATTCCCACATTTCTCCTAAGAAATTTCTGACTACTCATTTTTTTTGTTTAGGTTAAGACAGTGTGCGTCAAAATTTTACATGTGCAGCTCCAGCAACAAATTGTTTATGAGCTCTCTCAAAGATGCACAGCACGTGCCAAAGAATATTCAAGAATAGCATTGCAAAATAACTTGCAAATGTAAAATCCATTAAATTAAACTTCCCATTAATATTGAGTGTGTCATGCAAGTCACTGCCCTTACTAATATAATCCTGCAGAATAGTAGCTCATTGCAGCACCCAAATGGCTACTTACTACACTGACATTATTTCTGATGCTCTGAGTTTGTGTTTTTGTGAGTGCTGCCGCCCATAAAAAATCACAACTACAGTGAAAGACAGTGGCTGCCATAAATAACCATACAAGTCATGTTTTCAATAAGTTCCACCACATAGCATGACAACTAAGTGAAAAAAAAAATTGCAATCACTACACAATTTTCACATGTTACAAGCCCCAGCTTCAAGGCAAAATGTTTCAGTAGCCAAGCTTTAGCCAAGCTGCCTTTGCTCATTTGCAGCTTTAAATGTGCTTGTTAGTTAGAGACAGGAAGGAAGAAACATTACAAAACGTAACAAAAAGATCCAGAGCATTACAATAGGCCACAAACCTTTGGCATCGATGTCATTTAAGTGCAGTGAATGTGGTCCTTGAGAAGAAAGAGAGAAAGGCATTAGTGAAAATTGAGCATGCAAGAAGCCCACAACCTTGCATCTACTACAAGTTCATCAACATGAATGAAAAAATTAGAGTGCCATTACACACCAAAAGTTTTACAGAGAAGCTTGAGGGATATGTGCAGAAATTTACAAGGTGTATTCACATGGGCTTGCACAGTCAACAGACTACATATATAGGCTACTGGCAACCAGCACTGAAAATTCACTAGCCAACAGCAACACCATAATGCATAGCATAGCAAGAGGAGAGTTTCACAAGCATATGCAATGATTACATTTCTGTGATCTCATAGCTCATATTGAGGAGCATGTGTCTAGTTTCTCACCTGGCTAGGAATTGGTATGCTAGAAACATATGAGAGCATTTCCTCCTCATGTATACATTGGTCTAAAGCAAAAATTGCTACAGGTAGGCATTGGTTATTTGTTCACAATTTTATGCCACTTTTATGACCTCCTTATCCCATGACGACAGCAGACTTCAGCTGCACAGTTGAACTGCTGTGCTACCTCTTGGCAAAAGCAGGTTTTCAAGAGAGGTTCAAAAAAGTCGCATAAACTGCAGTATCATTAAATTTTATGTGGTCCACCCAACCATACAGAGAAATAATAATATGGAGGCAACCAGAGTAGATTAAAATGAATAAATTATGGGCAATTAACTAGGTGTACTACAACAACAGTTACTAATCAAGTGAGAGTGCTTAGCCACACATGAATGCCACCTATTAGAATTTGCCGCTGTTAGTAAGCATGTCTCATATCAAGCATTCTGTTACAGCACGTTATTCATCCACCATTCCTGTTCTACTATCCAAAGCCTAGATTAATGTTAATGAACATCATGCATTGCACACTTTGGAAAATAGAAACATCTATTTCAAGGGCAAATAATTTAAAGAGTACACAAAATCATACACATATTTTTGCTGCACACATTGTCAGGACAGTCATGCAGTAGGTTTGGCATTTGGCTTCATGATGCAGGTAGAAAATGCCTCCAAACACATGTTAAGGAGAAACTCAACATAATATCACACAAAAGCTGCCAAATCGATGTATGGCCAATACATAGCAGTGTACCTCATATATCCTAATGAGAAAGTGGAAAACAAAAACATGAGGTCTGGTAAAAGTATGAGGATAGTGATAGAGCAAAAATGTCAGAAAAAGTGTCACAAAAACATACACATTTTAGTAGAACTTCTAAGGATGATTTATTGCTTCACATTTTAAACAATGATCACTGTTGGGGATTAACGTCCCCAAATCGCCACGTGATTATGAGAGATGCCGCAGTGGAGGGCTCCAGAAATTTTGAACACCGGAGGTCCTTTAACGTGCACCTAAATTTAAGCACACACAAGTCAAGCATGTTCGCCTCCATCAAAAATGTGGCCCCCGCAGCCAAGATCCGATCCCACGACCTCCAGATCACCAGTCAAGTATTATAACCACTACACCACCATGACGTTTCTCCACATTTTACAAAACTTGACCACTCATACTACCGATGTCTAGAAGCCAGAAAGGGTTGCAATTGTTTAAAGATGCTTCTCCAAGTATCCACTTTTCAAGCTTTGCCGTTATAATCCTTCAACAGCATATTTCAGCTTAACCATTAGGCTGCATAGTCACTCATGTAGTGTTGACATTACAACAATGGCAAACTGCTCTGTAACATCATGCTATTAGATCGATTGATTGATATGTGGGGTTTGACGTCCCAAAACCACCACATGATTATAAGAGAGGCTGTTGTGGAGGGCTCTGGAAATTCTGACCACCTGGGATTTTTTAATGTGTACCCAAATCTGAGCACACAGGCCTACAGCATTCTTGCCTCCATCGAAAATGCAGTCGCCGCAACCAGAGTTCGATCCCGCCACCTGCGTGTCCGCAGCCAAGTACACTAGCCACTAGACCACCGCGGTGGGTTATCATGCTATTATGCCAGGCTCTTTTAACTCATTTCTTACCATGGGGCAATTAGCTGTTGTTTTTATGATTGATCTGAAATATTTTGTGTAATAGTTATTAGGTTTACCATGTCATGTTATATAGTTAAATGAAGGTAAATAAACACACTTTTGAATGATGTTTATTTTGTCACGTAGTTTTTTACAGACCTACTGGAAGACCGAGGAACGCCAGAAGAGCGACGAACGTCAACAGGCCGAAAATACAAAACAAGCGCAAGCTCGGGTCGCGTGTGTGCACCAACGCTGTGGCTTGCCGTTTCTTGCTGCTTCGTCGTCGTTCGCATAGTTCCCTACATCGGCCCCCAGTGAATAGCGTAGCCAACCTGGCGACTTAAGGCGTAGTCACTATAGCGGGGTTGTAATACGGCTTCAGGCGACTCACATGCACAATTTCTCGGTTACGATGGCGTAAGTCATGAGACTGTGTCAAAAGCTCAATCTCATAATTGACTGGTGACGTACGGGCGAGAATGCGGTAGGGCCCGTGGTATCGTGCCAGTAATTTCGCCGAAAGGCCAGGAGTGCTCGGTGAAATCCAGAGCCAAACGAGAGCACCAGTCGTGAAAGTAAAGAGATGTCGGTCGGTGTCATGCCGTAGCTTCTGGTGGCCTTGGTCCTCGGTTGTCAGTGAACGGGCCAATCGTCAGCAATCTTCTGCGTACCTGGCAACATCAGAAATTGCAGTGTACTCAGAGGAGTCGGGCGTGTATGGGAAGATAGTGTCCAGTGTGCACGATGGTTTGCATCCGTACAACAAAAAAAAAGGGAAAAACCCTGTTGTCGCGTGCGTAGCGGTGTTATACGCATACGTGACGAATGGAAGGACAGTGTCCCAATTGGTCTGGTCTGAAGCTGTGTACATCGTCAACATATCACGGAGAGTGCGATTAAATCGTTCTGTGAGGCCGTTCGTCTGCGGGTGATATGCTGTCGTCATGCGATGAATCATGTTGCACTGAGCGAGCAAGGCTTTAATGGCGTAGGACAAGAAAACACGCCCCCGGTCGCTCAAAAGTTCGCGGGGAGCATCATGGCGAAGAAAAAAGTTGTGCAAGATGAAAAACGCAACTTCCCTCGCGGTTGCTGCGGGTAGTGCTGCTGTCTCCGCGTAACGCGTGAGGTGGTCCACGCCGACAATTATCCACCTATTTCCAGAAGACGACGTGGGAAGTGGTCCGTATAAGTCGATACCGACGCGGTCAAATGGGCGCGCTGGACAAGGCAGAGGCTGAAGTGTACCGGCAGGGCGTTGAGGTGGGGCTTTACGTCGCTGGCATGCAGTACAAGCACGTACGTACTTGCGAACAAATGTGTACATGCCACGCCAGCAGTACCGCTGACGTAGACGGTTGTACATTTTGAGAGCGCCGACGTGAGCGCTTTGCAGGTTGTTGTGGAAAGCAGTACAGATTTCCGAGCGCATTTGGTTGGGTATCACTAACAGCCACCTACGACCTTCAGACGTGTAATTCCGCCGATAGAGGAGGTCGTCTCAAATAGCGAAATGTGTGGCTTGATGGCGGATAGTTCTTGAGACCAAATTAGCTAACGGATCAGTCAGAAAGGCGAGGAGTTGGGAAATCCACCCACCACCCATCTTTGCGTTGTTCCGATGCCATGTCTGTGAAGTCGATTGGTGTTATGA